AATCATTAAAAGTAATTCAATACTTACTTTCTTCTGAATAACATTGAGATCTTCGCCGCCGGTGTAGTGCGGGTCCAATATTAAGAACTTGAGTTCACCCGTGGCTTCGCTAAAGTCCACACCAATGATAGTATGGGCCAAAACACCGCCGCCTATCATAATAGGCGTGCCGTTTGTGCTGAAATGATTGGCTAATTCGCGCCCTTTGTTGGCCAATTCGGCGCCCGAACTCACAAACATAATCTTCGACGTGATTTCATACAAATGGCTCAATACGTAACTCACTTCTTGAGAACCGATCCACAGTCTGGAGCCCACAAACGATGGATTCTTGTCGCCGACATCAACCAACGCCTGTTGAATCTCTGTGTGATTGGGAACCGGTTTATCGATATATGACTGGTGTCTAAACCATGAGATAATAGTCTGCAGCGACCGATAGGCACAGCCCCACCCGTTGTCATCAATCCTGTCCTGCATATAGTGATGGTATGTGTAGTCGCCGTAAACGCAATATATTTGTCCGCTTTTAGTCCCCGAATCCTTCAAACCGATGTGAACTGAAGTCAGATAATCTGTTTTTGGCTTTTCATTGTCTAATAATGCATATAGTGATGGTATGTGTAGTCGCCGTAAACGCAATATATTTGTCCGCTTTTAGTCCCCGAATCCTTCAAACCGATGTGAACTGAAGTCAGATAATCTGTTTTTGGCTTTTCATTGTCTAATAGAAAACGATTTGATTTCCTAAACACTGGTCTTTCGGTTGGAATTAAATACTTTAAATGCAATTCTTTTCGTCTACTCGTCAGCTGTTCGTCACTCAAACTCTTCGGATATATAACTGATACGAAATGCGAGACATTTTTTGGCCAAAAATTATACATTTCTAAACAATATAATCGCTTGTCTTCTGATTCCAGATATTGTTCTAATTGTGTTGAATATGAGCTCAAAATTTGTTTCATTTGCTTTGAAAATAAATTAATTAAATAAGAGATGGAATTGTTTTCTTGAATCCGAGACAACAAATCAATTGTTAGGTTGAGTTCCACTTCTTTCATGTCTTCGGATAAGTCTATATCAGACGTGAAATCACTTTTAGCGCCATTACTACCCATTGCTATGAACTCAAAAGGACTCTTATCTGCGGCCTTCTTCTTCCTCATCTTCTCAACCATTTTCTTCTTCATATTCGCCGGCACTTCAATGCCATCGAACAGATCCGGATCTTCTTCCAGATATCCATGCATATAGTGATGGTATGTGTAGTCGCCGTAAACGCAATATATTTGTCCGCTTTTAGTCCCCGAATCCTTCAAACCGATGTGAACTGAAGTCAGATAATCTGTTTTTGGCTTTTCATTGTCTAATAAAAAACGATTTGATTTCCTAAACACCGGTCTTTCGGTTGGAATTAAATACTTTAAATGCAATTCTTTTCGTCTACTCGTCAGCTGTTCGTCACTCAAACTCTTCGGACATATAACTGATACAAAATGCGAGACATTTTTTGGCCAAAAATTATACATTTCTAAACAATATAATCGTTTGTCTTCTGATTCCAGATATTGTTCTAATTGTGTTGAATATGAGCTCAAGATTTGTTTCATTTGCTTTGAAAATAAATTAATTAAATAAGAGATGGAATTGTTTTCTTGAATCCGAGACAACAAATCAATTGTTAGATTGAGTTCCACTTCTTTCATGTCTTCGGATAAGTCTATATCAGACGTGATATCACTTTTAGCGCCATTACTGCCCTAACGATACTTGAGTTTTCCTGAGAATAGACGCCGGAAGAAGAAGGAGTAGAAGAGTTGGTAAAAGAAGAAGTATAAGCGGCCGTGAAGTTACGGTAGCTTGTCTAGGCCTAGAAGAAGGTCTATAGGGTAGAGATCTGTTAATGTCGTCGAATTGAATGACTTATCGGTAGCGCAGAGATTGGTCTTAAAACCCGATTGAATTAACTCTAAATCATATGAATTGATCTCTTCTTTGGATTTATTCAACTCTTCGTTCAAATTGTCTACAAATGTCTCAATCGATGTCTTGAATTTCAAAACAATATTGGCTTTAAGTTTAACAATAATAGTCTTATCGATGGCCTCGTCGTCGGCGACCACTTCGTCACTGCATTCGCAGAAGTCTTTCGACTTGATGTCAAAGAAGCGGATCTTCGGGTCGTTTTGGTCGTCAATTGTGGTCAAAACGACAAGTTTCCCGCTTTTCTTGCTTTTGCTTGACTTCACACACAAATCAATCAATTGCTGATCAGATGGAGAGGGAGTCAGACAATAGACGCCGAGACACGCGGTGCCCGCCGGCAGCTCCTTATCGTCACCGCAAACACATCCCAAACAATAGCTCACATTATTGTCGGACAAATCAGTAAAACCGAAGACCAGTCCGCACTTGAATTCATCGGCAATTTGTGACGAAATACGTGAGAAGTGTTGGAAGCGCTGCAGAAGAAGAAGAAGAATCACCACAAATAGTATGTCGTTAACAAATTGGTCTCAAATTATCATTAAATGGCAACAAAACAAACCTCACGAAGACTTTGGACAATCTTGAATACTTTGGCCGACATTGTTTGCAACAACAATCAACGGATCCAACGAATTATTAAAAGAGATAATCACATGAAATAGTGGCACAAAATGTGTGACAAAAACTGATGAATGGCTTCAATGAAAACGTGTCCAAAACAATAGTCACGTGTTTTGTGAGTGACGTTACGCTCAACACAACAGACATCCCATTGACGTCATCAC